GGTTGATTGTAATTAAGCACAAAGCTACACAATGGGTTATCTGTACTCTGTCTACCACCAGTATCGAAACCTGGTTTCTGGCATTGTAAGTCCACAGATATACCACAGTGCCACTGAGGGGCTTAAGGATCAGTGCTACCTTAAGTATAAAGTTAATTTGAAAGTTTACTTTTTAGCAAAAAAATTATTTTAATAATATTTTATGAATATGGAATATTTTGATGTTAACATATATCCAAATAACATAGCTATTAACTGTGAGATTGTCAGAGAAAAATATATGCTTTTAGGTTGCAAATTTCATGATTTTTCCATTATTCAAATGTTTGTACTTGTAGATGTTTGTGAACATATATACTTTTAGATTCACCTCCTGGTAGCTCAGCAGTAAACTTTATGGCTTATAATGCTAAACTTCAGGGTTTGCTACATATGGTGGGTACAGTGCAGATAGTCCATTCTCTTACTGTGCATTTAAACAAACATAAAAACTTTTAGTTTATGTTCATGGATTTAGATAAACAGGTTGTTTTAGCAGTTTTGTTATCATCTCCAAGAACAATGCTCAAAACAGAAATCTAAAATACTTTAGTTTCACTAAAATAAAAAAATGAAGACCTAAATGTACATTGAAATCCATCAGACTTAACATAACATTTAGTCCATTTAACTGATACAAAAAATAATAATAAATACTCATCACATTTAATTAATATAAATATCCATAATTCTGTAAAGAACTGTTCACATGGAACTATTTCCAAAATTAAAAATGACAATAGTTTCAATACCAATACATGATTTCTATATTTGCCACAAAACCAGTTTAGCAGAACATGTTATCAGTGTTAGATAATTCCTTGACATGTTCTAGTTAACAAATACAGTGTATATATTTCTACTTGACATAAATTGAAACCTGTCCATTTTATTCACTTTTTTTCTGCACCCAATGCTAAACTGGTAAGCACATTTTCAAGTTGTTTAGCAACTAGTAACACCTCTTTAAATGATTCCAAACAACATATGTTTAAAAGGATATTTTAAGTATGTTAAAAGTAAATAAAATACTATAATAGACAAGGCTCTTAAAAAATGCTGATAGTAAAGTTATTGTTGAAGACTATGAGATGGCTAAGCTTTTAAATATTCTGTTCTGTTCTTGAAACAAAAGATATTAGTAATATTTCTGACCCTGAGTATTTTATTTGAAATAATGGAAATATGAGCCTTCCTCTGTTATCTTTGGCAGGTCAATAGAGAGTGGGCAGGTGCCTGAGAATTGGGAGGATTATTTATGTTACTCCTATTTTTAAAGGGGATGATAACAGTTGCCCTGTAAAAAAAAAGGCCAGTTAGTCTTACTTGTGTAGTGGGAAAAGTTCTAAACACTGATAAAAGAAACTAAAAATCATTTAGTGAAATATGATATTGTAAATAAACGTCAGTATGGATTCACCAAAAGGAAATCTTGCCTTATTAAATTGTTTTTTGTTTTTTTTTACTTTAGGAGATTACTTGTTATCTGGATAACAGAAAGGCTGTGGACTTGGTGAAATGAGATTTTCAAAAAACTTTTAATGAGGTACTATACAAAAGATTACCTAAGAAAATCATAACTTAAAGTTGTTATGAACTAAATCAAGTCAAATTGGACCCTTGTAACTAACAAGAGTACCTCAGTGGTCAGTACTTGAACCTTTGCTCTTTCTTATTTACATTAATGATACTAACAGTGCTATAACATTTTGTTGATGCAATGATACACCATTATATTTTGCCCCATGGTACTGTAAATCCCATGATACACATCTCAAAACTTGGGTTTTATGCTTGTTTGAAAGTAGTACAATCAATATGGTATTTAAAGTATTTGTCAACCAAGATGGTCAGTATATTTGATCCCTGGTCATGATCATTGTTAGAAATTAGCACAACTGATATGATACTCAATGTAGCAATATACCACTATGACCAATATACTCGACTCATGGCCATGATCCCTTGTTAGATATCAGCACAATCAGTATGTTGCCCGATGTACCCATCAACCAACATGGCTTGCATACTCGATCCTTGGCAATGATTGCTGATTACAAACTAGTACACTTGTTATGATACTCAATGTACTTGAAATTTTAGCATTAACTTTGTCAAATGTAATCAACCAATTCTGCTTGCATGTCGCTGCCATATTTGGATCAACTGATATTGTATCATGACCCTGTTGTAATATGCATCCTATTGCAGGATAACATATTGTTACAACTCTAATACTAATAGGGTCACAATTAGTAAAGTATGCTGATGCCATTGAATTTTTGGTTATTTCTAACTGTATTGAGAATGACTTGAATCAATTGTTAAGTTGGACAAATATATGACCTTTAATTATAATAAGTGAAGGTAATGTATTTGTGTTATCATAATTTGGATCAAATGTTCAAAGTAGATGGGAACCAACTCTATTGCTTGTTTGAAGAAAAGGATCTTGGCACAGCGGTGAAAATGTTGCTCAAGCCATTGAAACAGTGCTATTAATAGATTCAATTGAATTTGTGAGTGTATTTATTGACATACTGATTGCAAGTTGAAAGAGGTAATTGTCCCTCTATATAAATCACTAGTTAGGCCTCACTCAGAATATTATGTACAATTTTGGTCTTCTTATCTTAAAAAAAAAAAGATATCAACTTACTGGAAACCGTTCAGGAGGACTACTCGGACTGTTCAGTATCAATTAAAATCTCTTATTTTCTTGAGTAAACAAAGGTAAGAGGTGATCTTATTAAATTTTAAAAGATCATCATCAAGGCCTATGATTTCTTTATGCTATATTTTGAATTTTAACATTTGGAAAAGACAGGCTAAACCCCAGTTAAGACAGTTTTATTACTCTTAAAAAGATGATTTACTTAGAGAATGAGTTACTGTTGGTAGAAGTGATGACCAGCTCTTTACAGGAGTTTAAGAGGGAAATCTATGATTTTCTGAAAAGTAAAGAGTTGGTATAAATTTGTATTCTTCCTAAGGATACACGTGAAGGGATAGTATTAAAGGACCTAATGGTCCTTTCCATAAGTTGTGTTATGGTAAAACAAACAACAACTTTTAATACATAAATATTCACTTCACTGATTTACAGACTGTGCATATAAAATAAATAGATTGTATGACTATACATTTTTGTCTTTACAAACTTGATATTATTCTATGTATCTAAAGATTAACATCGTTTTTACCACATCATATGTGGAGATGTAATGGACAGTGTTTCAATAGGATACAGACTGTCCTCTGGCTGAACAGCTGATACATTTAAACAAACAGCTTCACTAATTTCACAGGACACTGAAAATTATGGGACATATAAGTAAATAAGAAACTTTGGAAAAAGGCTAACATATTAGAGACTTAATAGCAATGCTGTAACAATAACAAAAGATTATATAATAATTCCAGATAAATACTCATAGTAAACCTTGTCTAGTGCCAATAATGTTTCCCTTCTGAGACCAAATAATTAGCAAACAGACTTATTTTGTTTGTAGACTTTTAATGCCTTGTTAAATCTTTAGCTTCAGATGCCAAACAAGGATATCCGTGCGAGAAAACTTAATACAAAGATGAACGTTGCAGTGTTCCTTCAATACATGGTAAGTTTATCACGACACACTGATGCAAAACAAAAATACTTGGGCCTTCTAAGTAGTTCTTATAACACATCTGATGAATTTGTATTAATAAGAAAACAGTAGCTGATGTTAAAAACTTAAAATGAATATTAAGTACCTCTAGAAATCAATTATTTAGTAAAAGACTGAATAAATTTACTTACATTGATAAAGGTTAAGATTGATAAGAAACTGTTCTATTTATTTACCATACTAAAATTATTATAATTCATTTTATAAGATTTGTTTATTTGACATAAGAAAGCAGGATCATGTGCTTTGGAAAATAATCTATGTAATACAAACATTTTAAACTTGTGTTATTATTATTCTATATTAATAGTTATTAATTAATTGACTTTCTGCATGTTAATTTGTTATTTATATAACTTCCCACTTCATATTATCTATAGTAGGTTTTATGTTATACGTTTCCTGGTAAATATGAAAATTTCTGCTATTCAGCTGACAAAAAGTTACTAATATCTGACTAAATGACCAAATAGGTTGGATACCAAAAATACAAACTAACTTCAATTTTGACCAAGTTTTCTAATCAGTCAAAGCTCATTTGGTTTTATGTTTTCAATAGTGAATTTTTATATTTAAAATCAAATTCTTAAGTTTCTCCAGCTATATTGTTATTAATTACCAGCTGCAAATAACATAACATAATGTTTAGGAACAACAAGGGACCTATTAATCCAACTAGGCTATCCCATTCTCTAAACTAAAACTATTAAATAAAATACAAAACCCTCAAAATCAGCCCTTATCATTCATATAGTTATAATATCTGTTAGAACCCTAATAACGAGTATAAACTTCCAACATTTACTTAAGCGACAAGTTTGTACAACATATTGCTTATCAGTTCATACACTTCCTACGAAAAATAATTTCTGAGTCTATTTTGAAAGAATTTTACTTTTGTTGGTTATTGCCTATATAATTCTAATTTAAACTGAAGTTATGTCAGTAGATACTAAAAATTACAAAATGAGAGCCACTTTGCCCAAATTTGATCCTCTATTTTCCAATAATCATATATATTTTATGCAAAATCATAACATAAATTTTATTGGGGGATTTATTATTCAATGTTCTGAGAAGGTAAAACCATTTATACAAGATCACAGAAACAGAATTTCTTAAGAAAAAAGTTACTACTAAGATGCAGTGGAATTTAAGTTTGTTTGACTCAAAACTGCACAGAAAAGTTGTTTTACTGCCTTGATTGTGTACACAATAATAGTTTATATATTTCTGAAGGAAAGTTATTTACAGTAACAATAAGAATTTACAATTAGTAAATAAACAGCTTACCAGAATGCAAGTAGGAGGTTAGATCAGAGAGAAAAATGTGCTTGGTTTTGGATTTGTATCATAAAGCAACTTCTGAAAGCTCAATTATACAATCTAACTGTTGAATACATGTTGGTTATAACACAATGTTTGTAGCTTGGTTTAAAAATCAGGCCTTGTGATAATGGTTACTCAAACATCCTTGGCCCTGGAGGTTAGAAGAAAAAATATGGATTAGTATAATTTATTATCTAGCTTTTTTTTACAGCATCAAGAAACTGAATTATTAATTTCAAGTGAAATATTAGTTGTCATGTAGCAAAATTAGTTGGGTCAGATTACATATAACAGTAAACTATTTAAGCAGATAAACCTAAGGATGCAATACTAACATTGTCAACAACAATAAAAAATTTTGTTTCATTAACAAACCACTTTTATAGATAAAAATATTTAAAAATCAACCTTATGGGAAATATCTATTCAAACTGGTTTTAAATTTCATTTGAATGGGTGTATAATTTTGAAGAGCCCTAAATTTAACCAACAGATCACAATAAGCAAATCCTGTTATACAGGTGATTAATAATTAATTTTTGGAACACGTGTATTTATTCAGTAATATATTTAGGAAAAAAAAAAAACACCAAAAAAAAGATTTTTCTACACTGTAATTAGCACATACCTACAGAAATATTTAATACATAAAACCTTATTTTTACTATTTAAGAATTATTTTCCTTTCCAGGTGATAGCAGAATTGATTTTTAATAAAACACAACTAGCACCTTTTACTTTAGTCACTAGAAAAAGCTAAGACCTAGAAAGCTAATGCATGTACACAAAAGTTTCCAGGTTCATTATTTTTAACATAATATATGGACAACAAGGGATCACTTGGTCCTTGAAGGCTGTCCCATTCACACATACACACCTTTGAGAAGAAATAAAAACTTCAACCCAACCTTTACTTTTCAGGAAATTACTAATTTCCATTTTAAACTCTACTAAAGTGTTGGCCTTAACTATCATCTAAATCAATCATTTCATTCCATAGCCAATAACCCTGTTAGAAAAATTAAATGGCCTTAACTCGAAACTAGCCTTTCTTTTCCAAATCTTAAATTTGTTTCCTCTCATCCTTTCGTCTTCAAAAATATAGCACAAAGAAATTAAACACTTTTATTCTCCCATATAATCTTTTAAACTTCAGTAAGATCAACTCTGAAACTTCTTTTCTCAAGAGAAAATAAGTTGTAAATCCTAACCTATTACCATAAAATAACTCTTTCCAACTCTAAAGTCATCCTAGTAGCCTTCCCAAGTCACATTCTAAAAAGTAGTAATACAAACATTGTTTATTAACAACTGATGGGAAATTGTAAAGGTTTCACAATATCAATACTTGTCACCTTTCTGAAGCATAGTCATCTCCAGCATTCATGACTGCAAATCCATTTTTTGGGGGATAAGTCACTTTGAGCCAATTCTAAAACTGTTCTTAAGAATTTTCAAAAGTTTTGATGACAAAATACCTAAAATTTTATATTGCTTTTCAACAAAAAAATTCGACAAGTTTCTACAAATTAGTATTTTGTAATGTGGATATTAGTAAAAAAAAAAAGTGCAATATTGTGTTAGGAAGAACACTATGCACAACTTCATTATAAGGTGAGTTCTGATGATTTACTATTATATTACAGGTTGTCCAAAAAGTTTGGAACCATAAGTTATTTGCAGCATTTCTTAATTTCAGATATGTGGCTGATTATGGCACTGTCAAAGCATGAGATTGTTGAATTAATCCAAACTTGTTTCGATTTACAAGGACAGCACATGGAACACATTTTGTAAAATTCATTTAAGCCTCTGGTTCTAGACTTTTCAGACACCCTGTATTGTAAAGAATTACTTTTTGGTACCATTTTCTGTACCAATAGTATTTTAAGAGCATTCTGAATTCAAATTACTCTCTGCCCAAAATATGCACACACCCTCCTCAGTTGTTGTATTGTTTTGCAATTGGAGGTGGATATCAAGTTTTCTCACAACTCTTCTCAATACAGGTTTGGAAACACAAAAAAATATTAAACTTGGAAGCTACCTCACATACAACTAACATTTTTAATTCAAGCCTAGGTAGCATCAACTATATGATATATTAAAATTAGTTTAACAGTTAGACCACAAAGTACACATACCTACTTCAAGATCTAATAAATCTCAAATCCCTAAAATTAAAAACTTCATTTATGTAAATGAAAATCGATTTACAAATAACAAAAAAAAACATGCATCAACTTGTTTTGGTAACTGCTGTTGCCATCTTAATTAGATTACTATAATGTATTATGTTTATAAATATCAGTATATCATGGAAGGGAGATATATAGGTATGATACATATTAAAATATCTAATGTTATTATGATGCTTACAATATTATACCAATGCAAGAAGAAGTGTCACACATTCCTACACAATATGAATGAATTTGTTCACTGGTAATTTTAGTCATTCCATTAAATCATGACATAAAAATCTAATTGTTACATTAGAAAATTATATATCTGAAGTAAAAGAAAAGAAAAAAAGAGCAGAGCCCTAAAATTAAATAATTCTATAAATTTAGGTTTACCACGTAAAATTCAGTTTAACATATAAAATAAAACTTAAATAAAAATACCTGCAGTTTAAACTCTTAAGAAGTTTGTCCTCATAGTAATAGTGGCAATATTGAATGTTGTTACAAGTTTTAATAATATTCTCAATTAAATATAAAAAATAACACTAAAAAGTAAATGGAATCCAACAGTCCAAGTTGTAATATTTAATAATAGTATTATTCATACTCTAGAAATAGCGAACTTAAAATAAATCACAATAACATAGAAAAACTATACACTGTAATATACAAACACCGGTATATAATCACGAAAGAACAAAAGGCTATATAGATATAACACAAGCTTATGTTAACCCACAAAAGGCTATATAATATAGAGTTATACCTGTTGTTTTATACTATAGTATAACTTATAAATGTATATATATTCCGCTATTTACTCGGATTCTCTACTCAATACTGTATTATAAAATATTTTGAAAAATATATAAAAAAAGAGCAAGAAATATTATACTTTACCTCCTTAACATTTTCATTACAATACAAATAATTTGTTTCAAACTAATGTTATATTACAGTAATATACATAGAAAATTATAAATTAATTGTTATTGAAAATTTCAGTTGGCACGTACGTAAGCCTAAACGTTTAAATGGTCAAACCTCCATCAAAAGCAGCGACATCTACCTAAGGTAATAGTTAAACACAAGAAAATATTGTGAAAACTCACCGTTAGTATAAAGCGTGTACATTCCAAAACAGCTTTAATATATTGTTGTAAGCTACATTTTTAATTTTATAACTTCTTTGTTAGCTAGAGGGCATAGAATACCTAGTAAATTCTAAGTTGACGTCAAGTTTTTTTTTGTACGACACACATTCGAAGTTAGACTAAAATACAGGATAGTTGTTTAAAGAATACATTGAGTTGAAAGATAGTCAAGGATATAGGATATAGTTAAGAAAGTGTGGAGTTATTTGAAGACAGAGAGTTGAATCAGCCACTGTGTTTTCGGGAATTATTTGGATCTGTGTTTGCTACTGTGCTTATCTGGTAATTTTGTACAAGTAAGTTGATTTGTTTCGAGTTAGTAAACGTAGGTATACAACAATTTACGGCAATATACAAGTGTTCAAATTTGTAGAAACGATGAAGGAGGTAATTAAGTAATTTGTTATAATTACTGGACTGGTCGTTGAATATTTTTCAGCAGATAATTTAAAAGAACCTGTCAACGAAGCAGCAACGTCACGACAATGAATGTGTGCGTTTGTGTGTGTGTGTGTATATATATATATATATATATATATACAGTC